GTGTGTGTGTGTGTGTGTGTGTGTGTGTGTGTGTGTGTGTGTTCATTCCAAGGTTGTTCAGTTTCAAAGAGGGTTGGTTCCAAGTTTACTTCTGAAGTATTTACGACAGATGTATTAGTTTTTTAATACAGGTTATTTATTTTCAATTATTTTTTAGTCTCATTGGTAACATTTCATTCATTTTTAGCTTTTTAGTTACTTAATTTTATACTTGTAGTTACCTGTGAATAACCATTTATTTTACTTTCAAGATTTTTTTTAAATTATTCATTTTCAGTTATGTTTTATTTTTATTAATAGTTATTTTGTTTTGAGTTGTAGGTTTTAAATTAATTAGCTTATAATTATCTATTTTCATTGCCTGTATTTACAATGTTTAGTATCTGAGTTGCTTTCTACTTTTAGTTATTGGAATTTTGAATTATTTATTTTCACAGTCAATTGACTAACTGAAACTCATTGAGAGCTTTTGAATTACTGTAGTCATTTATTTTCAGAGTGCAATGCTCTTATCACTGTAGGACTTTTTCTGAGTTATTTAGTTTTCCAGGGTTTCTTCAGTTATTTTTTTTTGAGCTGCTTATTTTTACATTCACTTATTTTTTATTTCTTGTGTGAGTTATTTCATTTTTAAAACTTTATTTTCAAAATTATTTAAATTTTAAACATGTTAAATTTTTTCAGTTTTTAATATATTTAGTTTTTAAATTATTTCCAGAGCAACTTATTYTCAGTCATTTTTTTCAATTATGCCTTCACCACTTAAATTTTCGTCTTTTTTCTTTCTTAATTCATTCAGATTTATTTTCCAAGTTATTTAGGTTTAGAATTTAGTRTACCAGTTCAATTAAGAAATGTTATATTAGTTATTTTAACAGAGAAAATATAATATAAAGAATTGTTAACCAGCTGTTGGAGAATTAAAACATAAGAAGAAGTGATACTGAGATATCATGGAAACTGAGAGCTGAGAGAACAAAAGTCAGAGGTTGGAATTATCAAAATCCAGGAATGTAGAGGTGACCCCATGGCTAGGGCTTGTCCCCTGAGGAGCAGTTGCTGCTCAAGATACAGATGGCCCAGGAACTTGGGAGCTAGATGCAGAACTCTGAGAAGCAGGTGCTGGTGTCTCTAAAATGGCACGATGGGCTAGTTATGGGATTTTTAAGGAAAATATCCAACTGGATCACTGGTGCTGCTGAAGCACTCTGTGGCTCTCTGGGTAGAGATGGTGCTAGGGGGAGACAGGCAGGATGCTGAAGAGGCACGTCCCCTTCCCCTCCTCCAGTCTCCAAAGCAGAGAGTAGAAGGGTGGGCTGGAAGCTGGGAAGTCCAGTGTACAACCAGCAATCTTAGCTTTGCAGTTACTTAGTTTTAGAGTACTTTTGAATTTAGTTTGTTTTGGAATTGTTAGGGATGATTTGGTTTTAAGTTTTTCCTAGACATGGGATCTAGCTGAGTCTCCGGTCCCCTGACGGTTTCTGGAATGGAGTGAGCCAATGAGAGCAGCCTCTCCTGTGAGTCTCAAGGAAACCACTTTAGATATCAAAAAAAAAAAAAAAAAAATCATGTGTCTCACTTTATTCATAAGGAAGCCCTTTAGGTGGCCAAAAAAGTAGAGACTAAGGGACAGGCCATAAGGGAGAGGCTCATCCCTCTTTGAAACTTTTCAGAAAGTGAAACTATGTTGTGAGTCTACCTTCTCCCACCCCCCTTTCCTAACAATAAAGTATCTTTCTTGATAATGTGTGTTTCAATTTTGTAGACTATTTACACAATAAAAGTTCTTCCCAAACCCATAATCTTATAATCTTAGATTCTGTTATCGGCATCATTTTCAAACCACATTGTTTCATCTTGACCATAAAAATATATAATATGTTATTCAATTGATTCAACACCTGCTCTCAGAATACTTCAGTCCTAAGGGAAATTCAAGAACCAAGTGAGCCCAGGGAAATGTAAAGATGAGTGAGAAATCATCCATCAAGTGGGGAAGACAAATGTAGAAACAGATAATCACAATCACAGTGTGACAGATACTCTGGGAGCACCAACACTGTCACGGACTCTTCTGATGTGGTTAGGGAAGGGGTGATAATCTGAGCTATGTTTAAAGGAGCCAAAGCTTTCTTTAGGTAGAGAAGGAGGAGAGGACCTTGGGCTGAGGGAATAGCACATGCTCAGGCACAGAGGCATACAGGAGCCCTGCATGGCAGGGATGACAAGTTGCTAAGGGCCTCTGGGCCACAAGAGTCAGAAAGGCTCTTAACATTAGGGCTGGCCCTGGCACTCAGCAGATCCTGCCTCCTATCATCCTCACTGCTCACCAACAGAGAGTGGGAAGCAACTTCAGGAGTCCAGTGCTCTTCCTGCTCTTCCTGATCCCATCACAGTTACATTCCTGGGAATCTTCCCTCCTTACTGGCTTTAGTGTTTTCCCACCCCCATTTTTACTTGTCCATTAGTGGTGAGTCCCTTCCTCCTTCACCTCCTCATCCCAGTTTCTTACACATCTGTAGGGAAAGAGGAAGGTTGAGACCAGCCACCTGTGAGGTGGTGATGATGTCAGTTGCAGAGGAGGTGAGGAAAAAGGGGACAAAGGAAACCTGCTGTGGAAATCTGTAAGGGTAGGGCAGACTCTGGGCATGACCACTCATGACTTCCTCCAGCTGCTTTAGACAACTGCAACCATAGAAAGGTAGAAAGGCTGCAGGGATGTGGTTCTCAAAGGGGGAACCTATTTAAATCCAACCTAGCTTGTGAATCTTATTAATTCAACAGTGTTGTAGCTCCGTGGTAGGGCACTTGCCTAGTATTTGTGAGGCTCTGGGTTCAATTATCAGCACTACAMATAAATAAATAAATAAATAAATRTATGTCCATCAACAACTAAAAAACATATTWAAAAAAAAAAAGTATTGAAAGCACACAGAGTCCTTTACTATGTGAACAACAGTAAACATGACTACCAAGTCAGAAGAAAATGTAGTCCCGCCTAATGGATGATGGTGTATTTTCAAACTTCTTATAAAACATATCTATACATTCAGTCTCAAATGCATGTGTATGTATATCTCAGCAGACTTCTCTGCTTATCTTGTCAATCATGATATACCCAATTCTCTATGAGAATATGGCAGAACTTCAACTACTTTTGTATCTTAGCTGAACACAAGAATCTTCAGGATGCTGACCATTTGCCTCAGGAAACACCACTTAGATGGTCTCAGACATGTTTGATCATTGAATAGCCAGCTGCTCACTACAGAAACTCAGCCCAAGGCATGTTCAGTACTTTGGGCCTGAGTCCATGCCTGCCATATGAAAATGTCCACACTTGATGGTGCTGGCAGGGGACAAGTGCCCTATCTTCCCAGAAGGAGTCTCTCTGCAGATATTATGCCACAGAGAGGTGACCAGAGGAGACTTTCTAGTACCAGGAATTGCTGGATGTCCTCAAGTGCTGGCCCCARTGCCCCAGGACTGTCCACTCTGATCTTCTACTCCAGACTCCTTGTCAAAGCCCAGGCTGCTGCTCTGTTGGGCTCCAGGAATCACAGAGCTCATGGTGGGCTGCAGGGGACACAGAAATAGGGGAATATTCCTTGTGAAGCCATCTCAGTTATCAATAGATCTCCAGTGGACACTACAATCTCTACTGGGGGCCTGGCCACACTGTTCACTCAGGAAGTAGTTGTGAACTTTTAGGCTTATTAAAAACAGGGTGGTAATGCAAAATAATAATAATAATGCTCATGTAAAAAAATAAATAAAAATTTAAAAAAAAAACAGGGTGGAGAAACAAAGGGTATGTTTTCCGTGAATTAAATATGTGTTCTCTTCCCGTTTGAGTAAATGGAAAGGAATCCAAAACCACCAGATGAAACCCCTCAGGCCTCTTTTAGAGTTGTTCAAATCCCCCATGCSTTTAAAATGTGGCCCACTAGAGGGACTTGGATTTCATTGTGTTGCCAAGGGTTGAGAATGCTGTGGCCACAGATTATAATGGCCTGGCTGAAGCAGCTAAATCCATAAAATCTAGAGGGGTTCTGAGTCTGTACTAAATACCAGCCATACATTATGCAATGTTAGAACTAGAAAGTCAAAGATCCTCTATCCCAGCATTGCTACAGTATATTTTACAGAATATGCAGAAGTTATTCAATGAGTTAATCCATTTTCTGCTAGGCAGAAAAAAAAGTTTTTAATAATCTATTCCTCTCTTGGTAGATGTCAATTAATAGATTCAAGAATCTGAAAGCTCTTACAGGAAGGAAGTCTATACACTTTTCCCAAACTTATTTGATCATGGAACCCCTTTTTCTTTTGTGAAATATAATATCCCATGTATATTAGTAAGGGGAAAGGCTAAACTTATAACAAAGAGATACAATAAGATATGATGACTTAAAAGAATATTTTCTGAGAAACACTTGGGGGGATTCCACCACTATGTGGAGAGAGAGAGGACAATCAAC